TTAAATTGAAAAAAAAAAAAAAAAAAAGAAAAAAAATATGTTTGGGTGCATCGTCGACTTACGGCTCGGTAGGAGCGTTCGGCGGAGGTAACCTCGTCATCGCCGCAGGGCCTGTTGGGATCGATACGGGCTGGTTCGTCTGCATACTACCATGAGGTGCTGTGGGCACAGGAACGGAGGGACCAGAATGGAACTGTGACGTGCCGCTTGGGGTTGTGTCGAAGTAGAAGCTGGGCATCTGAGAGGGCTGCATGGCAAAGTTCCCGCCGCCAGGGGCAGCATTGCCACGGAAGGAGTTGTACTCCATTCTAGGTTGTTTGCGCGTGTATATCTGCAGGCTTTCACGCAGTTCTGGAGCACCAGGACCTGTATGCGCTGCTGTTCTCCGGGCCGGTTCTGGCTTTGCAGGCGACAAGCAGCGTCTCGCACTGGTGGTCAATGGTCGTGGTTGCGAGGGTGTCCCTAGAACAAGGTTGAAGGATCGGGGATGCGTTGGCTTGGTGGACTGCGGACGCAAAGGTCCTGAGAGGATTCTTCTGGGATGGAAGTGCATGAGCTCTTGCTGTGCAACTGAATGGAGTGTGCAGAGTCAGAACCCGAGGGAATGGCTTCAACAGATGTCGCGTCATGGCCAGTCGCAAGCAGAGGCACGACTCAAGGCCAGAGCCACAGCCAGATTGAACCGTGTATGCATCAATCGATGTCTGCCCCCGCAAACTTTACATACATATCTTATCGCTCATGGCCCCCACTAAAAAGTTGGACAGGCCCACCTCCACCTCTCATGGCCTGTTGCATCGTGAATGAAGGTCCTCAACCCCTTCAATCATTGAGCCTTCAGTCTCACTTTCCACACGACGATGCTTAAATCAACAGCACGGAAGAGGAAGGCGCCTTCTACGGGGCCTTCAGGTCTCCAGAGGCGTGTACGCGCGCGGAAGGAGGAGGTTGACTCCGAGATTGATGAGAGTTCCAACCCATCAGAAAATGAGGGCTCAGAACGGAGTTCAGATGAAGATGAGGAGGACGAAGAGGTACGAGGCCCGCGTCACTACGTGCGATCACTGAACTGACAAACTCGTAGCCCAAAGCCTCACGGTCTTCCAAATCCAATCTCGACATGGCTTCCATCTCATTCGGCGCCCTCGCGAAAGCCCAAGCATCTATGCCCAAGCGCAGCAAGAAGGAGTCTGCAGAATCAGAAGAATCAGAGATCGATGACTCCGGAAGCGACTCTGGCAATGAAAGCAAGTACCGCAAGCGTGGCGGTCTCGCTAAGCGATCGTCAAAACATGCACCCACTGAGATGTCCTCGAAGCGCCCCGTCTCTCGCAAACGCGAGATTTTCCAGGTGCCCAAGGTCGAGGCCCGCGATCCCCGCTTCGACCCAGCTGTCAACTCTGGCGGGAGTAACTTTGACGAGGCCAAGGCCAAGAAGGCCTATGCTTTCCTCGATGAGTATCGTGACTCGGAGATGGCCGAACTCCGAATGGAGATTCGCAAGACCAAAGATGCGGCACAAAAGGAGCGACTACAGACCCTGCTTCAATCAATGCAGAATCGGAAGAAGGCGGCCAAGCGCAAGGATGACGAGAAGAGGATCCTTGAGGAGCACAGGCAGCGGGAGAAGGATCTTGTCCAGCAGGGCAAACAGCCGTTCTATCTTAAAAAGTCGGAGCAGAAGAAGAGGTTGCTGACGGAGCAGTTCAAGGGCATGAAGAAGAAACAGGTCAACAAGGTCATCGAGCGCAAGAGGAAGAAGGTGGCAGCCAAGGAGAAGATGGAATTGGACCAGCTGCAAAGACGATGAGGCGCGGGTGGCAGGTTCAAATCAGCCAAGATACGAAATCTATATTCACTTCACAAGCACCGCGTCGTTCCGCCGGTCATCATCATGTTCTTCTCTTAGTTGAAGTTGCCATGCACACGAACCTTTTGCGAAATGCCCTGTGTTGATGAACGACAGGATGCCACATATTCGGGAGGCTCTTGTGTTCGATAGTCTTGTTGATAGCAGGATGCAAGCGCTCTTGTTGGTTGTTTTCACAGTGTTCGAAGATGTGTGTATGTTCTATCTAACCCGTGACCCGTTGTACACCTTTTATCCGCACGTCTCATCTACTGTTACAGGTTGTTACACGGCGGGATGATCTGCAGCTCCCCTATTACATGAAGCCATTTTTCTTCAAGCTCTCCTCAAACATCCCCTTGCACCTAACCTTGCTCTCCATCTTGGCGCATAGCAAGAAAGCGCCGCTCAACTTTCGGTGAAGGCTGTATGTCTCCTCAGGTGGAGGTGCTAGGCGCTCCGCAAGCATGACCGGGATCAAAGCCTTGACGCGCTCAGTGATACTCTGGTCCTTGAAATCGTAAACCTCGGGCGCCGAGGCGAGGAACGGCTCCGCCAGCGTCAATACGGATTTGATGTGTGCATCAACCATGACTCGGCTCTCGTGGCCCGTGAGGTATCCCAGGCTCTCCGAGAGGCTCTTCACCGTCTCGCGATCGGAGCGAGATGCAGCAGCCAGAAGCTGTACGTACTGCTTGACAAACGTGTCGGGGTACTCGCGTGAGGCGCCAAAGTCGAGCAGCTCGAGCCTGTTGGTCTTGGCGTTGTACAAAAAGTTGGTCCAGTTGGGATCAGTCTGCATGAAGCGGAACTCGGTGATTTCGCGAAGACACAGCTGTAGGATCTGAGTGCCAATCCAGTCTTTCTGGTCCTGGGTGAAGGACTTGATTCGGGTTACGCCAACACCGTCCATGAAGTCCATGGTCAGACCTGCTTCCTCGATGCTTCCAGGTAGACAGTGGGCACTA